TCTCTCTCTCTCTCTGAATAACTTCCTCCATAAATGGCGTTACTGCGAGTTCTCATACTATTGTGGCGTTTTGGGGTTATTTCCTCCTTATTTTCTCCTTGGTCACGCAGCACCAGTGTGGCGTTTTCGGTTATTTCTCGTCTTGCTGCTCTTCTCTTCTTCCCTAGCTCCAAGAAACGGTATTGCTAGGGTTATCCGCCGTGGTCAGTGCAGTTTGGTCGCTAAGGGCGTACGCCTCCGTCCACTTGGTAAAGTAATCGCAGACTACCAGGATGTACTCATGCCCGAGCCTCGTGCGGGGTAATGGCCCCAGAAAATCGACCGCGATTCTCTCCATGGGTGCTCCAACAGCTTGCTGCTGTAACCGAGTTCTTCTGCGACGGCCTTCCTTCTTTCGGGCGCAAGGGTCGCACTGCCGACACCACCTCCGTACGTCCCCTCTCAACCCCGGCCAAGTGAAACGTTGCCGAATACGGGCTGACGTTTTCGTGACTCCTAGATGTCCAGACATCTTGCCCCCGTGCAGCAAGTCCATTATTTCTCGCCGGAGCTTCGGCGGCGCCACTAGCTGTGCAACTGGTACACTGGGCCGGTTCTCTGGGATCCATAAGCGGTATAACAGCCCTCGCCGTACTTCAAGGTGTTCCCACATGCTCCAGTAGCTCTTGCCGTCTTGCGATTCGCCCGCTATCTCCTGGTACTCGGGCCGTTCTTGGTTACTCGTCTTCAACTGAACAATCCGTCGAATAGCCGCATCGCCTCGCTGCCATTCCCTCAATTTCTCTTCGCTCCACTTCTCCAACGGCAACGCAGGCGGCCCGCCGGGATTGGCGGCCGTCACTCTCACCTGTCCGTGTAACCTAGCCGTGGGTTCAGCGATCGCCAGTTGTCCTCTTCTCCACGGCCGTTTGCCAACAGAACCGTCCACCACGGCGCCGCACCCCGGAGGAATCATCACTCGTCGGATGGCGGTCACCTGTCGCGGTTCTAACTTCTCTTCTCCATGCAGCGCGTGCAGGACGCCATCAACTGTTAGATGGCCGCGAGCAGCGTCCACCTGACAGTCATGGCTAACGAGAAAGTCCATGCCCAATATGCCGTACTTCGTGCCCATCTCTGCTACAAGGATATCCTGTCCATACTTCTACCCGCCGAGCAAAAATTCGGCTTCTATCTCTCCAACCGAGTCCAACGGTTTTCCCTGTACGTCATACATGTCCATGCTAGCCGGCTTCAATGAAGGTTTTCCCGCAGGAAACCCCTCGTAGACTCCCCGGTCCAACAGGCTGGCATCAGCGCCGGTGTCGACCATAAACTCGACGGGCCGGCCGTACATCATTACGGTGACGTGCCATGACGGTCGAGGTTGTACTCGGCCGACGTGGCCGCGTGGTCTCGGTCCCCGACGCCGTGCTCTCCCCTGGGCCGGATGCGCGGATCCCCATCCGGCCCCTACTCGTTTCCCGTCGGCGTGTTGGTGGTCGGGTGGTCGGCCGCCCTCTGCGGCGGCGGCCGGGCGTCGGTGCGCTCCTGTTGGTTGACGGGTTGGCCCCCACGGCACTCTCGCGCCATGTGGCCACGCCTCCCGCACTGGAAACAGATGATCGGCTCTCGCCGGCCTCCGTCTCCTCTGCCTCGGTCGTCGCGACCCGCTGACGGCCATACGGCCTTACGGTCGCCATAGGATTGCTCCTGCCTCGAGATGGGGTAGTCGAATTGCCGCCCCTGGTCACGATCTACTTCGCTTCGTCCGAAGACGTCACGCATGATCTGTGCCAGGTTGGCTAGCTCCCCCGGCCACGGGCCCGGTGAGCTCGGGAACGGTGCCCCCCTCTGCTGTCCAACTTGTCCCACGTGCGGCTTCTTGCACGGCGTATCAGCCCCAACGATCGCCTCGTACTGCTCTACCGTTTTATCATGCTGGCCAAGCACGTTTGCGCGCTGGCCGACACTCGGTAGGTTGTCGACAAACCTCCACAGCGCCCACTCGCTCTGCTGGTCGGGCGTGGAGTTTGGGAGTGCGCGGCTGACGAGTTTCTTCAACTCCCTGGCATACTCAAGCCACGTCTCCTCCGGCCGTCGTCGGCGTTTCTCCATGGCTGCCTTGTGTAGCAACTCCTGCCCGGCCGGGTGGAATCTGCTATACACGGAGAGAGGTTCTCTGTACACCCGTCGATGACTTCCGCCGCCGGCCCTTCCAACGCCGCCGTGAGCTACGCAGTGCGAGCAGGTTCCAGCCGTTATACTCAGCGGCTATATCGAATTTCTGTAAGAACGTTTCTAGGGTTGGTACTCTCCCGCCCCAGTAAACGGCCTCACTTCTCATTTCGATCGCGCTGTGATACGCCTCGAGCTGCCTCCGGCTCTGTCACCCCTCGGACTCTGCCGTCGTACCCTTCTATGTCAGCCTCGGCACGGCGAGGCGTCGGGATATATTGCTTCTCCCACATCGGCCCGTCTTCAGTTGAGTTTCGGGCGTATCGAACGTAACATGCGCAGCCCGCCTCGGCGTTACGCCTGGAAGCTTGCGCTCTCGGCTCGCCGGGTGTGGGGGTTACGTCGTCGGCGTAGTTCGGTGTATGGCTCCATCATTGTCGGGCTGTCGTCGCTCACTGTCTCCGACCTGTTCACCGACCCGGGCGACTCAGGGTATGCTCCAGCCGCAGCGGTCTGCTCTATAGGGCGCCCTACGCCGTACCTGGCGGGGGTACCGCCTGAGATTGCTGTCGAATCCCACACCACGGAGGTTTCTCTTCTATCCGGTCCTTGGGGAATCACCGGCATCTCTCGTCTGCACTCCTTTCGTATTCTCGGCTCTCAAGCTTCTCCGCAAAATCCTGGCCACACGGCACCAGTGTGGCGTTTTGGGGTATCTCCTTGGTCACGCAGCACCAGTGTGGCGCTTTCGGTTATTTCTCGTCTTGTTGCTCTTCTCTTCTTCCAGTGTGTTGTTGAATGTACGGGTGCGTATGTTCTTCTCACCGTTTTCGTGATCGTATAGTACCTTGTTGCGTTGTGTTCTTTACCTACCGGCGGTTTATCCGCCGGCTCTTCGGCAGGTCTGCGGAGTGCGTGAGGTGTGCGCTGGATGTAGCTCGACAGGATACTACACAAGCCGGGAATACGTTTTAGTGGCTTTATAAGAGAGCCTTTTATTCCACACCAAAACATGTCCGCATTCGCGGAAGGTGACAAAACAGTATAGGTTACACGCCCTTGGTTTTACATTCGATCTAGTTCCCACTCATTTCCCCCGGTAAAATGATTACGTTTATCCTTTATCTAACTACTGCTCTACATCTCCAT